TGTGTGTGTGTGTGTGTGTGTGTGTGTGTGTGTGTGTGTGTGTGTGTGTGTGTGTGTGTGTGTGTGTGTGTGTGTGTGTGTGTGTGTGTGTGTGTGTGTGTGTGTGTGTGTGTTTGTGTGTGTTGCACTCGTTGTCCTCATTTGCATCCCACACTCGTTCTCCTCCTTTGCGTTTCCCATCCCACACTCGTTCTCCTCCTTTGTGTTTCCCATCCCACACTCGTTCTCGTCCTCCTTTGTGCCTTCCCCTCAATCACAGTCTTGTGCACACCAAGTTCGTGGTGGAGTCGGTTACTTCATAGCTTGCACGCATGGGATTCAAATATCAAATCACTCAAATCCTCAATCAAATCAATCAAATCGATCAACGGCTTGATGTTGTTGTAACATAACATGTAGTAACACGGGCAATGTCGAGAAAGAAGAGGAAGAAACGAATAAGAAAAAGAACCACACAACACTCACCGCACTCATCACTCACTCACTCTCATCCATCAGTGCACTCATATTCATCACTCTCAATCTGCACGCGCTTATGCGCGAGGGAGAAAGTTCCTGACGCCTTGCTTCTGGTCCGGCGTGAGCGGCTGTGCGGGGAACTGCACGTCAAAGCGCACCTTGAGGTTGCCTGCGCCGCCATGGCGCTTGGGCATGCCCTCCCCCGCAACGATCTTCACCGTCTGCGGGGTGATGCGGTCCAGTGTCAGCGGCACGCTGCCGCCGCCAAGCTTGGGCACCTGCACCGTGCAGCCGCACAGCGCGTCGACAAGCGGCACCTTCACAGTTGTCACAACGTCGTCGCCGTCCCGCTTGAACGTCGGGTGCGGCTTCTCCTCAAGCACAAACTGGATATCCTGGCGCGGGCGGGCGTTGAGCTCGTCACCGGCGCCCGCAAACGTGTACTTGGTACCGGCCTTCACACCAGGGCGGCCCTCCACCGTGAGGATGTTGGAGGTGGTGGTGATGGCGCCCGTCTGCGAGTCCTGGATGCGCCGCTGCACGCGCATGCGCTTGGTGAAGCCCGTCTTGAGGTCCTCCAGCGACACGGGCACCTTGCGCTGCACCACCTCGGGTTGCTGGGGCGGGGCCGTGCGTGGGCACTGGCCCCGACTGCAGCCGCCGCCAGGGCCGCGCGCCCCGCCGAACAAGGAGGCAAAGTCGTCCTCAGAGTCGTCCGAGGTGTCCATGCCGCTGTTGCCGCCGCCGAAGAACATGCCGCTGCTGCCAAACGGGTTGCGGCGCGCCTGCTTTGCGCGGGGCTGGCCGCCGAAGCTGAACGACTGGAAGCCCGGGCCGCCCATGCCGCCGCCCATGCCCATGCCGCCGCCGCCCATGCCGCCGAAGAACTGGCGGAAGATGCGATCGGCATCGGCTGCGTCGAAGGTGTAGGTGGCGCCACCGGGGCCTGCGCTCGTGCGAGGACCGCCCGTTGGTGCGCCACCGTTTAGGCCCTCCTCGCCGTACATATCGTAGACCTTGCGCTTCTCCGGGTCGGAGAGCACGTCGTAGGCGCGGGAGATGGCCTGGAACTTCTCGTTGGCCTCGGGGCTCTTGTTGCGATCAGGGTGCCACTTCATGGCCAGCTTGCGGTACGCCTTCTTGAGATCGGCCTCCGATGCGCCGGGCGCAACGCCCAGCACGTCGTAGAACTTGCGGTTGTTCACAGAGGGCATCGTCGCTTCTTGGTGTGTGCTGCTGATCAACAAAGGATCGAAGGATCAAAAGATGAAGAAGGTGAAGAAGTGTTGGTTTGGTCGCTTGTTGTAGCTGTAGCTGAGGTTGCCTTGGTCTTCGGATTGGCTCGCGAATCTGGAAAAATGAACTGTCGACCCATCGCCATCCCACTTCAGCAACAACGACAAGGGGGAGGCGACAAGCGGGGAAGGGGGAGTGGGGCAACGTCACACAACATGATGGTGGTGGTGGTGGCGAGAACACCGCCCTGGCTGGTGTTTGCGGGTGTTTGCGGGTGTTTGCGGGTGTTTGCGCGCTTCATCTTGGTGCTTCGAGCACTTGCGAGAACGTTCGATCAGGGCAGTTTTTGATGTATTGTGAAAAGGTTTCATGCTTGTTTAAAACAAGACGGGAGAGGTATGGCGAGGAAGAACCCCGTTAAATGTGCATCAGATCAGAGAAGTCATCAAAGTGTGCCAACACCGCTTGCTGCGCGCTTCGCCAGCTCCTCCCGTGCGTCCAAGTCCGCCCTGATCGTCGGGTTGTTTGTGTTGTGTTGTGTTTGTGTGCATGTGTGTGTGTGTGTGTGTGTGTGTGTGTGTGTGTGTGTGTGTGTGTGTGTGTGTGTGTGTGTGTGTGTGTGAACGAATGAGTGAGACACAGGCACGAGCACGAGATGGGAGGCGGAGAGCTCGATGGAGGAAGTGTGACGGAGTCGGAGCAAGAAGAAGCGCATGTCACGAGCCACCACGACACACACATGCACACACATGCACACACATGCACACAACACATGTGGACCATGTTTGTACTTGATGAGTGCTCTGCGAACGAGCCGCTCCCACAAGGACACGATGCGCTGCTGCCGCGCTTCCACCTACGAGCATCACCAGCACAGCGCGGTAGCCAACACAAAACCACACGTGAGTTGGTATGCAGCAACACGACACACACAACAACAAAGTCAAACAGGCCATCAAGCACACGAGGTAACACGCGCACCAACACCCCAACCTCCTCCGCCTCCTCGGTTGACGACACAATGGACGGACGGGCACGAGCACGAGCAGAGGGTGTGCAGCACGCAAACAAAACGTTTGACCTGCTGTTGTAGCTTGTGCTGTTGGGTTGCCACCCACGCTTCTTCCAACAGCGGCGCAGCGTGCTCTGCCACAACAATGCCGTTCTTCTTGGGAACAGTGCGGCCACTGCTGAACTCAAAGCCAACCACGGCATCCGCATACTCCACCCCAAGCTGCCGCGCAACTTTTGCTGCGGTGCACAAGTGAGTGTGGGCGGGCGAGAAACAGGCAATGGGCGTTGGCGGTGGTAAGCTACACCAATGACATCGTTGGCAAGCACATTCACACGTTCACATGGGCGCAGTGTGTGTGTGTGTGTGTCTATGTGTGTGTGTGTGTGTGTGTGTGTGTGTGTGTGTGTGTGTGTGTGTGTGTGTGTGTGCGTGTGTGTGTGTGTGTGTGTGTGTGTGTGTGTGTGCAAAACACAACCAACCAAACTAACAAACACATTCACAACCACACACATTTTGCACTGACCGATGCCTGGGCGGTCGGCCATGTGCACGGCGCCAATGGGAAGCATGGCTGGATGGAACAACTCAACGTTGCCGTGCTGGTCGATATGTGGCCAGTGAGCGCACAGCATGGAAGGACATGGAGGGGGAGGGTTGTTGACAATGTGTTGTGGGAGCAGTGGTGGGGATGGGTGCAGCGGTGAGAATAGCACAAGACACGTTGGATTTTCTTCTTGCATTCACGATGCATACGCACACATGCCTACCTGGTTCACGGGGATTTGCCCGTCCTGCACCCGTGATCGCTCAAACGGTCGCGTTTGCCACTCACCTGTGCACGTATGCGCGCACGTGTGTGTGTGTGTGTGTGTGTGTGTGTGTGTGTGTGTGTGTGTGTGTGTGTGTGTGTGTGTGTGTGTGTGTGTGTGTGTGTGTGTACGACGTCACGACGTGTATAGGAGAGTGACAGCAAGAAAGTGCTCATCCCGCGGAAGCCGGGCAAGCCATGATTAACTGCAGATGTTTAGCGCGGTTTACATATATTTACCATAGAGAGATAACCTCATGAAGAATAGAAACAAGAGCTGGGTAGTAAAAAATTAAGTGTGAATTAAATGATGGGGAAAGAGACGGGTCAGGGAGGGAGGGTCGGAACACGACATATAGACAACAGACGCGCAAGTAGGATAAGGACACAAGGAGCACTAAAAACAGTCAGCATACCAGACAGACGGATCAACCACAGACATAAACTCTGCCAAGCACGCAGCGAGCCCAACCACGACTGACGAGCATC